ACTCACACACACAGACTCACACACACAGACTCACACGCTCACAGACTCACACACACAGACTCACACTCACAGACTCACACACACACACACACACTCACAGACTCACACACACAGACTCACACACACAGACTCACACACACAGACTCACACTCACAGACTCACACGCTCACAGACTCACACGCTCACAGACTCACACACACAGACTCACACGCTCACAGACTCACACACACAGACTCACACTCACACAGACTCACACTCACACAGACTCACACACACAGACTCACACTCACACAGACTCACACACACAGACTCACACTCACACAGACTCACACACACACAGACTCACACTCACACAGACTCACACACAGACTCAAACTCACAGACTCACACTCACACAGACACACACACACAGACTCACACACACAGACTCACACTCACACAGACTCACACACAGACTCACACTCACAGACTCACACTCACACAGACTCACACACACAGACTCACACTCACACAGACTCGCACACACAGACTCACACACACAGACTCACACACACAGACTCACACGCTCACACACACATACACGCACACACACACCCACACACAGACTCACCTCTGTGTCAGGACTGGCCTTCGTGGGACTCGGAGCTGCTTTATGCTGAAAAGCATCAACAGAGTTTCGATCAATAACAGCTGATCAGCGATCAATAACGTGCCGTCACCAGTTAAACTGGTACCGTTCGTACCTTGGCGTGTCCGCTCACGTTGTCCCTCTGCAGCGAGCGGTTCTTCTGCCGCTCCTCGTCGTACCTCATGGCGGCAAGCTGCGCCTCCCTCCTCATCCTCTCCACGCCGCCTCTCTGAGGACACAGACCGTCAGTGCTGCTGCAGCTGTGCTCAGCTTCTACCTCACAGGTAAGGACTGCCTTACCTGTCCGTGTGAGCCAGATGCGGCCGCGGCGCTATCGACTCCACCCCTGAGGGACAGGAGTTGACACAGTAAGCGAGACAGGAAGTGAAAAGAGCAGGTGTGATAAAGGTGAACGAGGACCGTACCTGCTGTGTCTCCTCGGGTCTTCCATCCTCGAAGAGCCGCTTTTCACAGGAGAACCCTGAGCACAGAGACAGGAAGTCACACAGGCTTTTCACAATAAAGTTCAGATTTTACACCATAATTATCAGTTTATACCTCAAACCACCGACAGACTCGACCTTTGACCTTTCAGAAGTCTGTGTAAAAAGGCTTACTGTAAAGACTGTAGTTAAAAGACGACAAGCAATTGTGGGGTGCATGTGAGTCGCAGGTGTGACTTCCTGTGGGCGGAGCTCTCACCTCTCTGGTGATGCGTCTCTCGATGTAAGCCATGAACTGAGAGCTCAGGCTGGTCCTGTCTCCTCCCCCACGACTCCTCCCCTCCTCCTCCTCCTCCTCACCCGCACAGCTGTCGATGAAGTCGATCTGCTCCAACTCCCCATCTGACACACACACAGAGGAGGAGACGATCCAGACGAGAAGCACCAATCAGCTCCATCACTCACCACATTCACTCTGAGTACTCTGGATTCCGACTGGCTGGCAGCTGTGGAGCGTAACTTCGAACCAGCTGATAGAGACGTCTGTGCAGGTGAGAGCTTCTACCAGTTTCACCTGTCCTAACCATGAGCCACGTCACACTGATCTGAATTGATGATGCTGAAGCAGCCGGAGCCAACCTTCCACTAACACGCTCGGCTTCATCTTCCTCAGCAGTGTGCCAGGCTCAGGTGCGTTTGTTTTACCGCCTCAACCTCTAAACTGATGTGAGATCAGAGAAACGCTCACATGTGCCATTAGGCAGCGCCGCTCCTCCCGCCGCGCCTCCTCGCTGCCTCTGGTCTCGGCTGATGTCGGCCACTCGCTGCGGCAGCTCCGACAGCTCCTCTGAGGCCTGCACAGAGGAGACAGCGCGGTTTCTGCAAACGGAGCTCGAGCAGGAGCGAAATCAGCGGCTCAACACCAGCAGGCTGCGATGGGTGGGCTTATTATTCTGTGGGTCGGCACAGCTCTGATCGTTTAGCAATGCCTGCCGGGCTCGCCCTGGTGTGAGCCACGCTAACCACACATTTATCTGCTACAGCACAGTTCATGTAAAAATCCTCCACTGTTAAAGGGTCAGGGGTCAACAGGGGTCAAGATGGAGGAAACGTGTCGTCGACTCATTAAACTAAAAGAAAACAGAACATCGAGGCTGCCGTGACGAAACACTGTCTGTGTTTGTGTGCGTGAGCGTGTGTGTGACCTCGTTGCTCAGCCATCTCTTGTCTCCGCTGTCGACGCTGTTGAAGCCGGAGTCGAGCGCTCCGTAGGGACGCCCGGGGTAAAGCTCATCCACACTGATGGGGCAAAGTGAGAGAGTCAAAGGCTTTTATTGTGAAAGAGCAGCAGCTTGTGTGTGTGTGTGTGTGTGTGTGTGTGTGTGTGTGTGCAGACCAGGAGCTGAAGGTCAGAGGTCGTCTGTCGTACTCGGGCAGGTCCGGCGTCGTCTTGCTGGCCTCCAGATTCAGGTACTTAAATATGTGAACTTTCCCTTTAATGCAGATCTGCAGACAGGAAGCAGACGTTAGCTCTGAACCGACACCTGCACAGGGACGCCTGCGAGGTCACTTCCTGCGTACCTGAGCGGGCGGGGTCTGCAGCGGGTTGTTGTCGAGGACGATGGTCTGCAGCTGCGTGAGGCGGCGATAACAGACGGGGATGGAGGTCACTTTGTTACAGGAGAAGTCGAGACGCACCAGAGGCAGCTCGGCCAGCTCTGCAGGGACGACCAATCAGATTACTCCACGAGCCATCACGCTTCACTTCCCAGGTTTGACAACACAATGACTCAATTCTCTTCTTCTTATGGTTCCATCTGTTCTTTTGAGGGGTGGAGCCTATCCCAGCTACCATAGGGCGAAAGGCAGGGCACACCTAAATACTACTAATTATTACTAATGGCCACTAGTGGACAATTGGCAGTACTGCACGTGTTTTTTACTGTCTCATCATCCTGGAGGAAAATGAAAGAAACCAAGACGACCTATGACTGCTGTGGATCTACACTGCGCCCAGGCACGTTCAGATCCCTGAACGTGGCGTGGAGTATCGCCTCGCATTGCTGCCGGGACTGACCGCTATGTCTGGTTTTGATCTGGGTGGATAAGTGAGTTTAAACGAGCTGTGCTGACCGCCGGGGTCGCGGTGGAGCGTCAGCGATTGGTGTGATTTGCCATTCGGTTAAACTCAAAGACGTGCAAACGACTATACTGTTTTTACCTGCTGGGTGGGCGTGTCCCCGTAGCTCTGACGTCAGGTGAAAACTGTGGATCGCCTGTTCTAGGATTTTACTACTCAGCTGTAAAAAAACGAAATCTGACTCGCAGTCAGAACTCGCTCAGGAGTTCACAGACGAGTCGAGACAAGCAGAGAAATGTGGCGGCGACTGAGCTGTGAGAGAGAGAGCAGCTCTTTGGAAAGATAGCAGGAAATGCCGCGGCCGCTTTGAAACCTGAACACAACAGCGGGCGCTTCGTGCCACTGCTGTTCGGCCTGTGTGGTGATTTTAATCACGTTGCTTTGACGGGTGGAGATTCACGACACTGATGTTTGGGTCAGAGGTTAAAAACTGCAGCTCACCCGTCTGCATGTGCACGGGGGGAGGAGGAGCTCCACGCTCACACAGGAGCACCAGACCCATCAGTGGGTTAGTCTGGTCTGAGCCATGCCCTCTGCCGTGGGCTGACTGACAGCTCAGTGGGAGGAGCTTAGATTGGCAGCGCGATCCAGGTGTTTTATTCCAATTTAACCTGCAGTCATTTATCAGGGCCTGAGTCAGCTGATCGGCTGATACAGAAACAATAACTGATCAATAAGTAACAGACAGCGCAGACTCCAGGCTGTGAACACAGCGGTCACCATCGTTTCACGCGTTTGTGTGTGTACCTGGTGGCAGTCGGACCAGGTGGTTTCTCCTGATGTTCAGGTCTCTTAGAGCCTCCAGCTGGCCCACCTGAGCAGGCAGAGTCTGGATCTCATTGCAGCTCACATCCTGTGGGAGATCAAAGATAACGATAATCAATAAGCGCTGCGATCGGTCAGCGAGGATGCCGACGTGCGGCGTGAGAGGACCGACCAGCTCGGTGAGGTGCCTCAGCTGTCCCAGCTCCTCCGGCAGGGAAACCAGCTTGTTGTTGCAGGCGATCAAAACCTTCAGAGGGAGGCCGCAGACGACGGCGGGCAGCACCGACAGCTGGTTCCGACTGAGGGGAGGGGCATTAAGAGAGGGGCGGGGTCAGAGACACAGGCATCCAGCTGTCATCGGTAAACATGTGACAAGTGTGCATGTGACAGAGAACAGAGGAAGAGGAGGACTACGAGACAAAACAGAATGAGACAAAGAAAAGAAAGACGATGAAGAGCAGAGAGGAAGAAGAAGAGGAAGACAAAAAGCAGAAGAAGATGAGGAGACGCTTCCAGATTCCTTCTGGTCCTGCTGATGACACCAAAAGTGGGCTTCATGGTTTCCGACCAATAAAATCAGCAGCATTCAAGCCATCGGTTCAGTGAGCAGCACCCACAGGTCACCCACAAGGTGAGGACATGCCAGAGGACTTCCTGTTTGGTGCCATCTGACAGAGCGTGGAGCTCGTGATAAATGAAACAGACCTGAGGCACACAACTGCACAGGTGTGTGTGTCTTTGTGTGTGTTACCTGAGGTTCAGGTAGGTAAGCGCCTGCAGGTTGAGCAGGCCGTCAGGCAGCGACCGCAGACAGTTCTGGTACAGGTTCAGACTCTCCAGAGACACGAAGAGACAAACCTCAAGAGGAAGCTCCGACAGCCGGTTACGAGACAGATCTGCACACACACACGGTACAGGTTAACCCGAGATCACGCACACGGTACAGGTAACCCGAGATCAC